TCGAGCGACGACGCCAGTGGCAGAAAGAGTTGGAAAACATAAGACAGGAAGAAAACGAAAAGGTGATTGAGTACGCCTGCAGGTTTGCGAGGTTACTCGAGAAGGTGTATCCCAAGGGCAACTACCACAAGAAACCGGCAGAATGGTTGCTTGCGACAGGATTACGGAAAGACGTATTGTCTATACCCGCCGTTGCAAACGCAACCGACCCAAGGGAAGCGATCAGAGCAGCAATGGAGGCCGAAGCCGATGCCGAAAGAGAACTACAAAAGACAAAGGAGTTAGAAGAGCGCGTTCAAGAACTAAAAAATCAAATGCGAGAGATGAGGAGAAAGCATTACCAGTATACCGTCCCCGTTGCAAGTGAACCAAGAGTGGCAACCAGGAAGAGGACGACAACATTCGTAGGAAAGTCTAGTTGGGAAAAGGACCCCAGTATGAAACCACTAGCTTGCGACAACGCTGATGATACCCCAACGAACCGTACTATCGTCACGAACGAACGGGAGTACCTGAGTCGGAAGCAAGCACAGCCTAATAAAGAAACAAGCATCGTTAGTATCCGCGAGAAGATACCGATCTCAGATGATGAAACCAAAGAGATACTTACTGACGAGATCGGTCGCGAGCGATCTGATGATAATGCGGATGATGGAGATGTGTTCGTAGAAGCGATGGAAGAATTACCCGCAGAAGAAGGCGATGATGCAATGGTAGGAGAAGAAAGGTTAATATCCGACGAAGAAGGGGAAGTGGAACAAGAGGTGAATGGTAATCCCAACTCCGATGATGACACACGACCGGAGACTCCAGGCCCTGCAGCGTATACCTTCCAATTGGAAGAAACGTCGGCGGCCACCGAAGAGAACCCAGTAGAGGTTAATGAAACTGAAGAGAAGGGTGAAGGTCAATTAGAAGAACAAGAGCCAACGAAAGAAGGGGATACGGAACATAAAAAAATGTGCAAGGAGTATAACTCCCTTAACAAGGAAGGTCATGATGAACTACACTTCGACGACCCAGATCTCACGAAACCGCTAGCCCAATGTAGAGAACCGATGTCGCCCAGGGAAGAACGATTAGGGATAGAAAATAATGTCCGTAAAGCAGAAGTCGACGGAAGCACAATGAACGATCAAGTACTAAAGATAAGGAGGATGTTAGGGGCGCCCGGAAGAATGATCCAAGGGCTGGGATGCTATGTCGATAATGATGATGATACCCTGATCAATCGAAAGATGCACAAGGACGGTCAGGATGTGAAAGGAAGGGACGAGAAGGGAAAAAGGATCTCGGTGATTACCTGGGAAGTGCATGCGCCCAGTGACGAAACGTTCAGGCTACGCACCATCCCGGCATCACGGCAACAAGCGATGAACGCGTTTCTACATGAACTGAAAGGGATGCTTATGCTGGTATACGTCGGTACCTTCGCAAAACTAGCACTGCTCACGATGATGATGATCTATAAGACGGTTTGGACAAAGGATCCAGTAAAAGAACCCCGGGTCGAGTATGAGAACGCGACCGCGAGTACCGTCCGGAGATCTGAGTGCGCAGCGGTGATGCGATGCACCCGCAACAGCAATAGCGATGCCCTGGGAAATAGAATAGCGGCAGCCACGACCAATATAGAACCATCGTGCACATTAGAGGACTCAAATGTTAGGTTTGGCAACCCACCCGTAACGTGCCAACAGCTGACAACCCCACACAGGCGCAAGATCGTAGAAAAGATGACACAGGGATCCAATACCATCAACATAGAGTTGAAAATGAATGCCATCGCCCTGATCGATAGGATCACCTGCGTGACTATCAATGTCACTGGTAATGGACGGATCAAGGGAAAGGTATGGCAAACAAACCAGCTTGTGAAAGTACCCCGGGGAATCTACGTGTCACGTGATTCGGGACGAAAAGTCAGGAATGACGACCCGAATTGGGACTACGAGACCAAGGAAACTAGCATTGCATATAAGCTAGCATTAGGAAACGGAAGAATGACGTACCCACGTGTAGAGCACACAGGCGCCTTGAAGGATCCAACAGTTACACCCCGCAACTTACCTGTGATGCAACAACTGATGATGATTTTGCATCGGCGGAAGATTAAAGGAAATGTTATAATATGTTATCCGAGTACCCCCGCCACGAAGTCTAAATGGAATGATAGTACTCCAACCGGAAGAATGGATCCAAGGGTCTACAATGCAACTAGGAGTGGGCAAATACGAAGAAGTGTATGGCGAGCAAACCAACAGGTGGAAGTACTTCGGGGTCCCAAAAAGTCATGTGACTCGAAGCAAGGGATCGGAAAAGACAACCGAAGTTGGAACCGTGAAATTACTACCACTAACAGCAAACACGCATTTACCGTAAGGGGCACAATGGATGACGACACCTATCATAAGGAATTCGATATCGGAGACCTAGATGGAATGAAACATAGGATTAGCAACGACAATGATGAAAACAGTACAAGAAGATGTGATGGTCAGGTCCTTACCCGATTGCCACAGACTATCCTTGACCTAATCGCTACTTTGAGGATCCGACATGCACCAGAAACCGCGAACCGGAAGGTTGGGTTTGAAGATTGTCCGCGGAGCGTACAAGATAGGCGTGGGGGAGTGTTAGCAGAAAAATATGT